TGTTTCTTCCTCTTTGATCAATTGTATCTAAATAGAGACTTATTTTGAATAAAATAGAGATATTCATTGCGATCAGAAATAAATCAAGATCTATAATATTCGAGTGAAATAGAATAAATTCCAAAAGCTGTTCCTTCTTCCTGAAATGGATTGAAAGTTCTGATGAAAAGTTTTCCATATGATTATTCTCCCATTTCTTATCTATTCCTGTTTCAACAAAAATATTTACTGTGAAAGATTTCCTTTGTGACTTTATTATCAAAATTAGATATTGAAAAATAAATTATTTTCATATGAATAAGATATTTCTATCAATATGAAACGTTAATGTGGTTAAAGAAAAAGAAATTCTTTTTAATAATCTTTTCATAAATCAAATGTCCCAATCGAACTTAAAAAACAAACGATATCCTTTTCGATAATTATCCCAAATCAAATACATTGACGATTCTTTTCATACTTCATTCAATTCATTTCAATCGTCAACAAAAGTAGCTTATCTATATTTAATTTGAAATAATCGATTTGATCCAATAGATAAATCTTTTTTTTTTACCTTTAAAATTCAAGGATTGAATTCTAAGAAGCAAAAAAATTCTCTAATATACTCTTGAATGAATTACTCTTATTCGGATCAGAAGCAAATCTCATTTAAAGCAATATATTTCATATAATCTCTCGATTACTATATCTTTATCTTTCTCATTCAATTTCTTTAACAAGTTTCATTTGGAAAATTGTTTATTCATATGAAATTAAAGTCTAATCCAGATTAGATACATTGATCATCATTTGCATGATTATTTTGCATTTATGTGATAATAATTACATTGAAGAAACCTTTATAGAATTTATTTTCGAATGCGAACACAAATAGAATGAAGATTTAGTTTATCATTGATTATTCTCATTCTTCGATTATCAATCTCATTTTGAACGTTGTCTATTTATTCATTGTCAGATGAAAGTAATAATTATAAAACGAATTAAACATATTGACAATGATCCGATTTGATAAAGAAAGTTAGATACAGTCATGTGAGGTAATCCGGATCAGAAATTTGAAAATTTATTTTGTTTTTGTTCGTTCTCAGCTATCTTACTTTTGTATAAAGGTGATTTTTGTTTCACAACTAGATCAAAGTGTCTCCTATTGAGTGACGAAAGAATCTCCAAAAAAGCATGTACTAGAGAAAAGTAATAGCAAAAATACCGAGAGGGGACTCCGAGCTGATCTGAATTACCCCATATGGGATAATTCAGATCACCTAGGCAATCTATATGGGGTAATTCAGATTATTACAGCAAAAACGGCTATAGCCTATTTTTCCCATCTCCTAACTCAATTTTTAGCTGCTCTTGAAAAATAACTAAATATACCATTTGATAGGCCAAAGTCTCTACTATGGAACCTGAAAATATCTCGATGATTGAATGTGACCTTATAAATGTAATATTCACAACATTGACAGTTGTATCCATCATTTTTTAAAAGTTAAAAATGAACTCGAGGTAATTCGGATCAGTCAAGCAATTTCACATAGGGTAATTCGAATCACTCCAGCCATTTTAGCTGGAGACCACTTATGTAACCTCTACCATCTTTAGGATACACAATCGACTTTTACTTCTCGGATAAAAGTTGTTCATCTCTCTTTCCTCTATCTCGATGTGAAAAATGAGGTGTCATTCAATGTGATGCATTAAGCATTTAAACATTTTTTTTATTTTATTTTAGGTGAATCAATATATATAAATTAAACAGTAAGTATTATTTCTTAATTAAATTTTTTTTCTTTATTTTTAGGTCAACTAATGTATTCAAATTAAACAGTAAGTATTATTTCTTAATTAAATTTTTTTTCTTTATTTTTAGGTCAACTAATGTATTCAAATTAAACAGTAAGAATTTTTTTAATAAAATAATTTTTTCTTTTTTTTAGCTAAATTGGCGCATCCAAATTGAACAGTAAGTATTATTTTTTAATAAAATAATTTTTTTTTCGTTATTTTAGCAAAATTTGGTATATCCAATTATGCTGTTTATGTTATGTATCCGATGCATATGAGTTTTTCTATCAGTCATAGTACTATGCCTGATAGAAAAACGCATGTGTATAGAATCCATTATGGAAACAGCATAATAAGAAATGAAATTTATTTCTGTTACAGATAAAGTTTGGTTGACCGACAGAAATCTGGCAGGATCCTATCGGATCCGGCACTTTCCGACAACTTCCGACTGTCGGAAATCATGGGATCCGACATCCGACAACTTCCTATCGGAATCCTGTCCCAAGGATTCCGACAACTTCCGACAGGATCCTATCGGAAGTTGTCGGATTCCTGTCGGAAATTGCCGGATTGTCTGGGGTTTCCTGTAGGATCCGACAGTCGGATTGCTCGACCTGGGTACTTTTTCTCATCATTACTCATTCATCCACTTGATAATAGTTCTGCAATTCATTTCTCTAGTGTTTGCAGTCGTCTCATTCTTACTCTAAATACAATCCATCTCGTATCTATCTGAAAAATAATTTTCCAAGAGAAAATTTCCTTAAGTGGTAGTTCTCGTTAGTCCCTTGTAATATGAATTTCACATAATCTGTATCGTGCACAACTGAATAAAAGACAACATGTCCGTCTCTTTCAGCAAAAGGGTGAATGTTGAGCAATGACATAGAATTGGTCATCAATTTGAACCTAACGTCCCCCATCGTCGAAATTTTCTTAATAAGTGTTACCGGGAGCAGCTAGTCGTTCGTCGGCGCCACTCACGACTAGCCGCTCCGATGCCTCCCCAATCTTCCGCGTTACTGTCCAATTTTACGACCATCGGTACCCGATTCGTCACCTTTTATTGAACTGATAATTGATCGGTGTGCTTTTGGATCTAGAAATCTGATTTGTGGATTTTGCAACCAGTAGAGATCTGCCATCGATTTCTTCTGAAAAAAATCAATTTCAGCGGTTTTTCACCCTCGAAAAGTGATTGGTCTATTTTGGGCCTCAGGAATCTGATAGAATGATTTCATATTGTGTTTAACCATTGACTTTTAACCCTTGACTTTTGGCCTTTGACCTGCGACAGACATACATACAAAAGCATTTCACTTTTTTCCGTATTACCCTCCTTTCAGTCGATGAAACAATGATTATCTTATTCTTTTCTTTGTTAAATCAAATGATGGATCATTGATTCTTTATTTTCAGAAAAGAAAAGAATAATTCACAATTTAAACCATCACACATATCAATCATCTGACCTGCAACCTGATGATTATTTGTTTTAATTCTAGTTTGTCGTTTTATCGTTTAAATTCATCCTCAAGAATTAATAACAATGAATATTAAACGATAAAGATAAAATATTTGAATATTGTAATTTGACTTTCTTTTATCAATTCATTAAAGAATTCTATCTTTTTGAAGTAATTCGTTTCTATTCTTATACTTTATCGTTTACAATGAGATCAAATTTACGATAAAAACTATTGTCTGAAAGTTGTTTTATTTTGCCAATTTTGAAGTAGAGACATGCTATTTTTCTTTGGTTTTATTCTAAATTTTCTCATATCGATAAATAAAGTTCGTTGAAGCTACTCACTGAACTCTCGAGTGATTTTCATTTTACGTTTCTTCGTGCATGCAACTATATAAGCAGATGCACTTCTCACTAGCGACACCTGTATTTCTCTGCTTGGTTTAAGAAATTTTGAAATCTTTTAAATGAAAAGGATCAATAGGTCTTTATAAACATTCTGTGAAATGTTTGCAGTAGGGTGATTAGAATTTAATTAACAATACATCATGAAAGAGACTATTTCCTGAGAGATTGACACAATGATGTACGAACTGATATGAGTATTTGCCAATAGAATATCGCTCATAAAGACTATTTTCTCATGAATATGCACAATATTTCTTTATTACTCAAAATTATTCTGAAATAATACTTGTAGAACGAAGATTGACTTTGAAAAATATGGCTATCAGAAGGATGGGTGATGGTACCTAGATGCTATCTATCCAATTTAACTTATAATGTCCTTTAATTAAATATAGCATTGATCAAGAGTTTGGCTCCACTTTTATTTTTAATCAGATATTTAAATTATTTGATATAATTCAAGTTTATTTTTGTCATTTGATAGTGCAAAACGAGTATTATCTATATATACATATATAATAGGAAAATTCTTTCAAAATAGAATATAAAAAAAAGCGAGCAAACTAGTGTGATAAAAAAATCACACTGCACATTGTTTTTGTAACTCTGATTATTTCACTTATGATACAAGAAACTATACAATTATGTAACAGTTTTATTTTGATGGAACTTAATTGAATTCTACAAAATTGCATACATGAAAATGTTTCTAAATCCTTTTATTGCTTAAATTTACCAAAAACATGCATTTTTGTTTTTCACACAGAAAATGGTCAACAAATTTTTCATATTAAAAACACATGTTTTACATTTTATTAAAATAGACTTGAAAAAAATTATCCTTTTAAATTATATAAAAATATTTTAATATAAAAATAAATATTGAGAGAATCGATATACAACAGAAAATATTACCGACCTGTTCATTTTTCAAAAATGACTTCATGAAAAATTTTGATAAGAAGGAGGCGAAAAGGAACAGAAAAATCTTTCTTCTATCGATCTCTGCAATGCATAAAGCACGTCGTGCTGTATCGATTATTTCAACTCAATAGTTTGAAATACTTAATTCATTTATAAAAACATTATTTCTGTAACATTTTCAGAAATTTTTCAAATATGATTCTTTTCTAGAAACTTTTCACAGATTGTTGTGATATAAATGGATCATAGATTTTTAAAAAATTCACAATTATTAGGTTAAGATTTCATTGCCTTGTACGAACTAAGTATTTTTATTGAATGAAATTCATTTTCTTCCAAAAATGATCATTTATTTAATTCAAACAAATATTTTTGTTTCTCTAAACTATACACAAAATAATAACATTCAATCGATTTTTGCAAAGGGAAAATAATTTTGTAAAGATTGAATCGAATATTTGTTTTCTCCATATAAAAATATTTCATTTACTTTGCTACAATTAATTCGTATTTCATTTCTTGTAAAATTCTGTGTTATTCTTGCAAATGATTCCACATTAATATGAAGTGAAATCGAATTATGTAAATATGTTTTTCTATTAAGAAACTCTTCAGTATAATCATCACGACATCGTCGAATATCAAGTTCAATAAGATGATAATATCGAATAATTCCAAAATTCTGATTAATATTGATCGTTTGTTTAGAATTTTGTGAACAATCATTAATCAAAGTTAATCTGCTCATCAATGGAAATGCAAGAGAAATTTGACGAAAAAATTCATGTTCAAATGGATGTTCATCATATAAATACACTATGCGAACATGTGGATAATATCCACCTGGAAAATTATTTGTAATATATTCATAAGATTTCATTAGAAATGGATATGAATAAACATGACATTGTCCTAGTTTTCGCTTACGATGAAAATAATCAACACAAGATATTACTTTTGTGCATGGAAAATCTTTAAATGTTTGTTGAATATCTTCTTGTGACAGAAAACTCATTTGACTTTCCATAGAAATAAATGAATAAATATCAAAATCGAAATGTTTCATTTTTGTCAAATGATAAAGAATATCTTCTTTCAAACTTTTTCCATCAATAAATCTTTCCTCGATTTGAGTCGTGATATATAAACCAAGTGGGGTGTGGGTGTGGGTGTGGGTGTGGG